CAGTTCCTTCTTTGGCTGTTTCTGTCAAGAAAGCTGCTTGATAGCAACCTCCTCTCTCGTTGCTATGTCAGTGGCAGTGACAACTGTGCCAGAAGACCCTTGTCTAAAAATTTCATATTGTACATATTTTTCCTTAGGATCTCCTATGCTTACTATAGCTTTTAAGTTTTCCATAATCTCTTCATCTGACATCTTGGCCCTTTGTTGTTTATCTGGGGACTTGTTATCCCTATCTGCATTAGAATCACCACCGGGTGCAGGAATAGGTTCAATTGCAGAGTGAATGGAAGTTGATGTTGTATTCATGGAGATGGAGCAATGACAGGAGAAGTAGCCTCTTCATCCTCATCTTTGTTGTTATTGGTGATGTTTCTGATCCTTTTTAATTCAGTTGCCAGTGTACTGGAAAGGAAGCCATCTTTTTCAGGAGGAGCAAAACTCAAATATTTCTGCTTCACTGTGTTAGGGTTGTAGAACTTGAAGACATTTAGCTCAGCCTATAGATACTTCTACTAGTCTAATTTGGTGATATTTGAGGTCCGAATTGGTCAAGCCCACTATTGTGGCATTCCAGTAAATTCTTCATTAACAGCATCATTGCCAACATGTATATGTGCACTAAATCAACTGGAGAGAAATCTGAGTCGTTCCTTGTATTTTTATTTCCTTTTTCAATGGTGGATAAATAGGAACATTATTTTATTCCTGATTTTTATTAACACCCCACCCCCACCCCCGACAGGTGCAAATGTCTCAAATTCTGATTGGCCGAAAATGGAGATAAAGGCCTCTGGTGCTAAATAGGATACTGCTTTATCTGCAGGTATGCTGGAGGCATGTCTTCCAGTTCTCCATTATCAGACATAAATCCGAGTAATGAAAAGGTCATAAGTCCTACTGCTTTCTCTAATAAGCTGAAGACACTGCAACATACACACACACACACACACACACACACACACACACACACACACACACACACACACAACCAGCTTACAAGATTGTGTTATCCCAGCCTCTTCAAAGGCTGATGCAGGAGGTTTTCTTGAGCACTGGAATTTGATTTCATCCTGTGCATCATGGGTAAAGCAGATGACATGCAAGAAAATATATCTGGTCCCTGCCCTGTTGAGGAGCTCCTGAAGGGCTGGAAAGTTGCCGCATGTGGGTAACTCTGAAACCTGGAAAAGGTTTGAGAGGTTGAGACACTGTCTGAAGAGCACTTGGAACCCTGAGAGCCGACCATGAAAGAGTTAAAGGAGACAGCTCTGGGAGGGTAAGAGACTGGATTGCCATCCCCTCCACCCTTTTTACTTGGGTCAGGAGCTGTGTCAGGGACTTTCACAAGTTAAGTTTGGGCTAAATAGACACCATGTCTGGACTTTTTCTGGGCTGCAATCTCCTGTCTCAATAGAATAAAAAAACCAGTGTGTTTCACAAACTATGTTTTAGCTGAGATTGTAATATTAGTAGAGATGCTTTACTCCTTGCATGTATTCATGGTTACCTTTCTTGTGCAAAATCAAGTAAATATGCTTGCTTGTGGGAATTTGGGGCCCAAGTACGGGAGAGCCATGGGACTCCTGGTCACCCCCTTATCAGCCTGTGTCTCTGTATTCTAATTTTCTTTGGCCCAGTATCCATCCCGATGCCTCAGGTTGTGATTACCAACAGCCATAGCTCCTTAAGAGGTCTTTAATGAAATGAAACTGCTCACACAATGTAGGTTGGGGCCACCAATCTACTCTCATTGGAGCTTTCACCTCTCCCAAGTCAAAACTTCTTTACTACCTCTGGTGGCCATCTCCCACCTGGACAGTATATGTAAACTTGGGCAGAATGTGCCAGACTCAGAGCTGCAGCTGCTCTTTCCTTCTTTTTCTATTTTTGTGAAAGGCCAGTCCTGGGACTTAGGTTTAGGGCAGTGTCATGTCCCCTTTGGTTTTTCAGTCAAAGCTAGTGCTCTGCCACTTGAGTTCCCTACCAGATTTATTTTTTTTTTTGCCAGTCCTGGGGCTTGAACCCTGGGCCTGGGCACTGTCTTTAGCTCAAGGCTAGCACTTTACCACTTGAGCCACAGCACTAGTTCTGGCTTTTTTTTTTTTTTTTTTGATTGTGAACATACCATACAGAGGGGTTACAATTACATGGACAAAGTAATGAGTACATTTCTTATCAAGCATTGTTGCCTCCTCCTTTGTTTCCCCTTCCCATCCCTTCCCATCGCTCCCCTGCCACTCCCCCCTCTCCGCCCCCCCCCCCCCCCCCCCCCGGCGCCAAAAGTTCTGGCTTTTTTCTGTGTATGTGGTACTGAGGAATCAAACCCATGTTCGATGTAAGCATGTAAGGCAAGGGCTCTACCACTATGCCACATTCCCAGTCCCTACTCCCAGATTTTTGCTGGTTCACTGGATATTAGAGTCTCATGGACTGGCCTGCCTGGCCTATCGTTCAACCATGATCCTCACATCTCAGCCTCTGTAGTAGCTGGGAGTATAGACATGAGCTACTGGCTAGTTTCATGAATGTCTTTTAGTCATCTCTCTTCCGGCTACTGTGCTGAGGTCTCTCAGGACACCTGGAACTAAGATTGCTCTTTGTTTCCAAAGGCCCTAAGTACTTAAGTCTCAAACAGAAGACCTCTACCAAGATGGCCCTTTCTTCAGATTTCTGAGCTATGGTAAAGATAATAATCTTTTCTCTTGCAGATGAGTCATGTCCCATGCTGGGATAAACAGTCACTACCCTGCCAGATCAAAACCTGTAGCGAGGCTCACAGTAGAAGTGGTGTTGCTTAGCTAAGTCTGTCATCTTGATTACTTTGTGATGTTGGTGTCAGACTTACCCTTCAAGGAGCCAGGGCTGGAGCTGCAGACTTCAGTTTCTGCCATCACGTTTGCATTTACTTGCTTGTCAATTGTCCTATCAGCCCTTCATAGGTTTGGGTATTCTTCTTTTGCTCTTACAATTCTTTTTTCTTTTTTTGTCAGTATTGGATTTTGATCTCAGTGCCTGAGTGCTGCTCCTGAATGTTTTTGCCCAAGTGTAGTGCTTTACCCTTTGAGCCACACCACAGCTTCACTCTAGACATTTTTGGTGATGAACTGGAGATAAAGAGTCTCACAGAGTTTCCTGCCCAGGCTGACTTAGAACTGTGATCCTCAGATCTCAGCCTCTTGAGTAACCAGGATTACAGGCATGAGCCACCAGCACCCAGCCTTTTTCCTACTTTTAGTTTTATCCCTGTATGATTATTCACTGAGCAGTATTCTTTTAGTATAGGTCCTTGGAAATTTCATAAGCAATTAGTGGATTTTTTTAGATGAAATCTCATAGCATCTTTCTTTGCCTTAGTATGTTTGCCAAATGTATAAGGTTAGACACAACCTATTTCTTCATTTGTTAAGGGCCTGATGTTGGGGCCTTTTTTCCAAACAGTGAAATATACTGGAAAAACATATCCATAGTACATTCTCAGGACATTGATAGATGTCATGGGTTATACAGGACTGCAGACATTCACAGACAGTGAGACCAACGGAGGATATTCTTAGGAGAAGAACACAAAGGTGTAATGCCTTTGTGCATCTGATCATATAAAATATTATTTATCGAAATGAGCTTTAGGAAATGGAAATGAGATTTTATTCTTTGTTGTTTTATTTTGTCTTCTTTCTTTGCGGATTTATCTGTCTTTGGCAGGTTAAGGAGGAAACAAATCAACAAGGGGTGAATAAATGCAGCAGTGGTACTCATTAGACTATGTTATATTATAAATAAGCAACTTGTATGTGGGGATGAGAAGGTAAAGGAGAAGAAGTGAGGAAAGGTTTGATATTGTCAAAAAAGAAATGTACTCAGTACCTGACTTATATAACTGTAACGACTCTGTACATCACTTTTAGGATAATAATTTTTTTAAAAAAAAATATGGCAAGTGGCCAGATACCAGTGGCTTACATCTTCGGTTTTAGGTACTCAAATTAGTAGAGTATATGTATCATTTGCCATTTTGTTCATACATAACTGAAAATATGTTATAGTGTTTTACACATTTCCCTTTGTGTTTAGTGAATTCAGGGCCATGGAACTTAGTATGTGCAAACTTATCTGGATTAGATAGGTCTTCCTTGTGTATTTTTCATATATAAGTTCGTTCATTAGTGTATTGACCACAGTAATCCTTTAGTTTGTCTTACATTGCAGATATTTTTCTTCTTTACTTTCTTTTGTCTCCCTTCATTTTCTTTTTTTTGGGGGGGGGCCTGAACTCTGAGCCTGGGCGTTGTCCCTCAGCTCTTCAGCTCAAGGCTAGCGCTCTACCACTTGAGCCACAGTGCCATTTCTGGCTTTTTTTTTCTGCTTATGTGGTGCTGAGGAATCGAACCCAGGGCCTCATGCATACAAGGCAAACACTTAACCACTGAGCCACCTTCCCAGCCCCTCCCTTCATTTTCATATATTAAACTTCTCCATTGTTTGGGCATTCATTTTTACAGTCAAAGTTGTATTTCCTGATACTTTCTATTGTTCTATGATGGGGACAGTAATTTTGAGACAGGAGTGTTAGGAGATGAGTTTGGAACTTAGCCAGATGCCCATGATCACTCAGTTTTGTTTCATATTATTCCAATAAGGACTGATTTCCTTTCCTTTAATCTATTTTGCTAATCTCTTTGTGCAAAATCATCTATGTGGATTAGACAAACTTCATTCTTTTGTATGTGTTGCAATAGTATTCTTGCTATTTAGCCCTTTCTTCCTATCTCGGCTTTTAAGTAGTGCGAGAATTACAAGTTTGTGTGGAGGAAAAAAGAGAATAGAATTATTATGTGAGAAGTACTAAAGGGAAAATTAGTCCTGGGAATATAAATGTTTAACTATATGGACAACTCCGTCTATATCTATCTATATATACTTATTTATTTAATAAAATTAGTTTAATTTCCACTTCTGTGACTTTAACTCTTTGTTTTGGAATTGCATGTGGAATATTTTAGGAGACTATAACCTTTGAGGATGTGGCCATAAATTTTACCCCGGAAGAATGGACTTTGCTAAAACTTTGTCAAAAGAAGCTCTACAGAGATGTGATGTTGGAAACCTTGACAAACCTGGCCTCTATAGGTAAATATTCCCTCACGTAACCAGTGTCCTGTTCATGCCTTTAAGTAATATTGCATCATTTGAAATGAAAATGGAACATCTGGGTGAATATACCAATGTGAATGTACCATGATCACATGATGCATGATTATAGTTGCGAGTCTTCATATGTTTTCTGTAGTGTTTGTTGAAGGAATAAATGACTTCTATGTTTTGTATTTTAGAAAAGAAGCAGGAAAAAGAAAATACTGAAGTTAACTACAAAAATCCCAGGGCAGAAGTAAGGTAATTGTACTAACTAGAGATAGTACTGCCTTTCAAATAATGTAGAGTGGCGGGAAATTTTGAAACGAAGCAAATGATACAAATGCGTAAGACAGAAATGGATTCAATCTTAGAAAAATTTTCTTTTAAGTTATGTACAAATGGAGTTCCCAAATTTGAAAATTCAGAAACCTAAACAAAATATGCCAGTATGAAGACCATTTTGGAGAACACCATGAAGGCTCAGGAGACACTTTCTAATGCTTTAATGCTTTTAAAAAAGTTTGTCCCTGTGTTTTTTTTTTGTTTTTGTTTTTACAGAACTCAATATTTAGAGAGACATTATGAAGATGAAGAAGATATCCAATGTGACAAAGCCTTCCAACAGAATGTAGAGCACAGCGTGAATAAGAAAATTTTACCCAGAGTAGCACCTGTCAAAAACTCTGTGTTTGGAGAAACCTTCCTTGCTCATTCACCCATGGGTATCCCTTTCAGAGCATGCACAGGACGAATATATTTCCAGAATCAGGAATGTGTAGAGATCTCCAACACTCATACAGAATGTGGGAGCTCCTGCAGGAAATACCAGGGGCAAATTGGCTATAGAATGCACAAGGAGGAAAGTCCATTTGCAGCTAATCAATGTAAAAACTCGTTAAGCCATTCCAGTTTCTTTCACAGAAAAGAGGAGATGGACACAGAAGTTAAACAGTGTTATGAATGTATGCATTGTAGAACATCTTGTTTGAACTCCAGTACCCTTCAAGAACATACAAGAATTCACCCTAGTGAAAAACTGTATGGATGTAAGGAATGTGGGAAAACGTTCAGTTTTTATTGTAATCTTCAAAAACATGAAGGAATTCACATTGGAGAGAAACCATATATATGTAAGCAATGTGGGAAATCATTCATTGTTCCTCGTTACCTTCGAATACATGAAAGAACTCACATTGGAGAGAAATTCTACAGATGTAAGCACTGTAGGAAAACCTTCACTTCTTCTACTTACTGTAAAATGCATGAAAAAATTCACACTGGAGAGAAACCCTATGAATGTAAGCAATGTGGGAAATCCTTCCCTTTCTCTAGTTACCTTAAAACACATGCAAGAACTCACACTGGAGAGAAACCCTATGAATGTAAGCAATGTGGGAAATCCTTCCGTTCCTCTAGTCACCTTTTAACACATAGAAGAACTCATACTGGGGAGAAACATTACAAATGTAAGTATTGTGGGAAAACCTTCACTTCCTCTAGTTCCCGTACAATACATGAAAAAATTCACACTGGAAATAAACCCCATGGATGTGAGCAATGTGGGAAAACATTCGTTCTTCCTCATTACCTTAAAATACATGAAAGAACTCACACTGGAGAGAAACCCTACAGATGTAAGCAATGTGGGAAAACCTTCACTTCCTCTAGTTCCCGTACAGTGCATGAAAAAATTCACACTGGAGAGAAACCCTACAAATGTAAGCAGTGTGGGAAAACTTTCACTTGTTCTAGATACCTTAAATCACATGAAAAAATTCACATTGTAGAGAAATCCTATGGATGTAAGCAATGTGGGAAAACCTTCCTTCTTCCTCATTACCTTAAAACACATGAAAGAACTCACACTGGAGACAAACCCTATGGATGTAAGCAATGTGGGAAATCTTTCCGTTCCTCTAGTCACCTTACAACCCATGAAAGAATTCATACTGGCAAGAAACCCTACAGATGTAAGCAATGTGGGAAAACCTTCACTTCCTCTAGTTACTGTAAAATACATGAAAAAAGTCACAATAAAGAGAATCCCTAGATGTAAGCAATGTGGGAAAATCTGCACTCTCTCTAGGTACTGTAAAATCTATGAAAGAATTCACACTAGAGAGAAATCCCATGGATGGAAGCAATGCAGGAAAACCTTCCCTTCTATTTACTGTAAAATACAAGAAAAAAGTCATAGTCATACTAGGGAGAAAGCCTACAGATGTAAGCAATGTGGGAACCTTCCCTTCCTCTAGTTACCTTAAAGCACACAAAATAATTCACACTGGAGACAAACCCTGTGGTTGTAAGCAATGTGGGAAATTCTTCCTTTTCTCTAGTAAATTGAAAACCCATGAAAATACACCGGTGAGAAACCCTATGGATGTAAGCAATGTGGGAAAAATACTCCTTTTTTATTATAAAGGTGATGTACAGAAGTGTTACAAGAATACATTTCAGAAAGAGTACATTTCTTTTGTGCTAATGTCACCCCTTCTTCATTCTCTCCTAGTATTTCCCTCCCATTCCCAACCACAATTTGTATTCATTTTCAGTATAGTGTCCAGTGAGTACCATTGCTTTGGGCTGAATTCTTGACATGGAGTAGAGGAAACACCATTTGGGCTGGCTTTCAGGAGAGGCTCTCACTGAGCCCAAGGAGGACAAAACTGTAGGAAACATCTCTCCTTGCCATCCACACAGTTTGTGGACATTATATTGTAGCCCTGGCTTCTGCTCAAGACGTCATAGTATAGTTTGGCTACCTGGTTAAGTTGGGCTCCCAGAATAGGATCTGGAAGATCAAGCTGTTAGTATCCTGGACCTTCCTGTTTAATGTCCTGGTTTGCTGTGACCTCTAGGGTCCAATCTGTTTTGTGCATAACTGCCCAATGGCAAGCTACCAGGTCAGTGCATGATAGGAACACCAAGGTATCCAGGACACCAGGTACATAGAGATACCAGCATTACACAGCCATTAGAAAGTATAATATGCCCTTTGCAGGGAAATGGATGAACCTAGAATAAATCATGTTAAATGAGGTAAGCCAAGTTCCAAGAGAAAATGACCCATGTTTTCTCTGATATGCAGATGTTAGATCTCAAATACACTGGGATAGCCTGTGACCATACACTAACATCAACTCAAAATGGATTAAAGACCTCAACACCAAACCTGAAACTGAAACTACTGCAGGACAGAGTAGAATAAACTCTTGATCTTATAGGCACAGGCAGGAGCTTGCTGAACAGGGTCCAAGGGTCACAACAAATTGGAGAGATACTTGACAAATGGGACTACCTTAAAATAAAAAGTTTGGTAGCTAAAGACATAGCTACCAAACTAGAAAGACAGCCAACCAATTAGGAAAAGATATTTACCAGCAATATATCAGACAAAGGCCTAATATCCATTATGTACAGGGAACTCAAGAAACTAATCCCTCCCAAATCTAACAAACCAATCATCAAAGGGAAAGGGAGCTAAAGAAAGACTTCTCAGAAAAGATTAAAATGGCAAGGAAACACTTCTTCATCAATCCTGGCTGTAAAGGAAATGCAAATAAAGACAACTCTGAAATACCACCGTATCCTAGTCAGATTGGCCTATATGCTAAATTCAGACAAAGACAAATGCAGGTGGGGATGTGGAGAAAGAGGAACCCTACTGCACTGCTGGTGGGAATGTACACAAATACAACCACTCTGGAAAGCAGTCTGGAGGTTCCTCAGAAAACTAAACATAGACCTGCCATAGACCCAGCATTACCACTCCTCGGCATCTACTCTGAGCATCAGGAAGCAGGCTACAAGGACACATGCACCTCCATGTTCATTGCTGCACTGTTCACAATAGCCAAGATATGGAAACAAGTCAGATGCCCCACCATGGATAAATGGATCCATAAATTGTGGTGCCTATATACAATGAGCTATTATGCAGCCATTAGAAAAGACAAAATAATGCCATTTGCAGGGAAATGGATGAAACCCAAACAAATGTTGAGCAAAATAAGCCAAGATCAGAGAGACACGCTACTTCGTCTCCCTGATCTGTGATGTTAAATACAAAACACAAGATATGACAAATAGGACTCAAGAAACAAAGGACCTCTCCTTAATTTGTCATATCATTTTTAGATGACTCCATGTTTGCCTCATATATGGCATATACTCGTGCACATCTGAGGGGAGCTAGGAGGAGGAGGGCACAGAGTCAGAAGGAAACGTGAAAAAAATACAACAAAGGGAACCATCAGCTACACTGGACATTGATGAAAGTGAACTAAGCAACTCTAGGGCAGCAATGGGAGGGAGGGAATGAGAGAGAAAGAGGCAACAGCTCACACTGAGCAAAAGGAAAGAAATGTACCTATCACCTTATTTACAAGAAAAGTTATCAAAGTTTGTAGAGTTCATAACCTTTATAGACCATGATAATGACAATTCTCCTTGTGAAGGTTAGAATTTGTGACTTTAGCTAAATATCACTATCCCACAATACTTTGAACTTTACGTAATCACTTAGAAAAATACACTGGGATATAATAAGTTATACAGGAATTTAGACACATATAGTGAGACCAAATGAAGATACTCTTAGAGGATAAACATAAATGTGCAATGCCTACGTGCCTCTTTATATACATAATATGTATATATGTATATATATATATATGTATATATATACATATATACATATATATATATATACACATATATATATGTATATATGTATATATATACATATATACATATATACATATATATATACATATATATATACATATATATACATATATACATATATATATACATATATATATATATATACATATATATACATATATACATAAGCAAACAATGGTAACAATGTTTTGTTTTCCTTTTTGTGATGCTTCTGTTTTATTATCTTTTATTATCTTCATGTCTGATTTATCATTGTGTCTATCTTTGGAAATGTGTGGGAGGACACAGAACTTGAATGAACAAGCATGAAAAAGTCCACCAGTGGAGCTCACTGGACACTGGTGAACGTGAACTATACAACTCATGGGTGGAAATGGAAGGGGGGGGTGACTGGGAGAGTTAGGGAATGTACTTAAGGAAATGTACTCATTACCCAACTAATTTGAATTCCTCTGTACCTCACCACTATAATAAAATTTAAGGAAAAGTCATGTGCTGGCAGGGCAGTCAGGACCTACCCCTTGTCTCCATATTCAGTGTCCCCAGAGGACTGTGTTTGGGACACTCCATAACACATTCTGCCACCACCAAATCCCATCCAGCCCAGCATGTGTGAACCAACACTCAAGCCAATTGAGAGTTGAGAAAAGAAGGCATCTTAATATACAAAGGCCAAAGGGAGGATGACAGCTGTGCATGCAGGAAAGGGAGACAGGCCAGAGCCAGTAAGGAGTTGCTTGTAGGGACCTGGCCCCTGAAGCCGAGAATTCCTTGCATGTCAGATTGCAGCTCTGGTGCTCCCCAGTCCTTAAGTGCCATTCCCATCCTTCCAGCCTAATGCTGCTACCACCTCCTTTATTATCTGAGTCTCATCCCAGAAGCAGCCAAGCATGGATCTGGGTGGAACAGGTGGTATGTGCCTTCCAGCCTGCCAGGTTATAAGCCTCATGTACAGCATCCTGAGTTTCTGGGGTATAAAGACATGCTGATAATCAGTCTGCTGTGTCCTGCTACTCGCCTTGTGACAAAGGACTCGGCAGGGCTGTCACAGTGGAGGAACTAAGAAGCCAGGAATAAAGTCCCTCACTATGCCTGCCTTTGTAAGCCACAAAGGTGTGCCTGAGGCCAACCAGATGGTGTTATAAAGGAGCAGGGATAGAGAGGGGAAGTTGGGAGACAAGGGAGAAGCAATGAATAAGAAAAATTGTGGTGTGTGTATGTGTGTGTGTGTGTCATTTAAAGAACCAGGGTTTGCTGAGTATTGGTGGCTAATGCCTGTAATCCTAGCTACTCAGGAGGCTGAGATCTGAGGAATGTAATTCAAAGACAGCCTGGGCAAGGAAAGTCCATGAGACTCTTGTCTTTAATTAACCACCAGAAAAATGGAAGTGGTGCTGTGACTCATGTGGTAGAGTGCTTCCTTGAGCTAAAGAGCTCAGGAACAGTGCCCAGGCCCAGAGTTCAAGCCCTATGACCAAAAACAAAAACAAACCACGGTTTGTTGGGTTTGGGTTTATGAAAATCTATTTAGATATCATGGAAATAATTCAGCTTCCTCCATCTTCCTGTGAACATCAGCTATCTCTTCTAAATAGCTAGTTAGACTAATAGTTAGACTACCACACTCTTGGTTTGAAGAGTTGAACCTTCTCAGAGCAGTAGGTTATCACTAGGTTTTACTTGATATTAAAGTGTTTATTGTTACTATGAAGATGATGTTCAGAGGGGTTACACTTACATAAGTCAGGTAAAGGGTACATTTATTTGTGGACAATGTCACCCCTTCCATCTCTCTCCCAGTTTTTCCCTCCTTCCACAGGGACAGAACCCAGGCTCTGAGTTCAAGCCCCAGGACCAACATCAAAAATTAATGAATGAATAAATAAATAAAACAAAAGATCTAGAGAATGTAGCTTAGACCTAGAAGGCATATGGGTCAAGCACAAACCCTTGGCTTCTATCCCTAGTAATATTCCCCCCAAAATAAATAATGCATTTATGTTCATGGTAAATATAACCTTCTAAAGTATAAGAAAGTAAAAAGTAGGTGACAAGTATATTTTATATGAAAACAAATAAGACCAAATGGGTTATAGAGAAAGCACAATAAATGGGAAAACTTTAAAACCACAAAATTCCTATGAATAGGAAAGTTTACCAGTGTTATTAAAAATTACCTAAAATCACAATAAGTTTCAACTAAATATGCCAATTAAGAGTCAGAATGTATTAAAAAACAATACCAAAATGTGTGTTGTCTACAGGAAAACTATTTTCAATATAACAAATATGAGAACAGAATAGGATTTGCAAAGTAAATCCTAATCCAAGGATTACAATTTTTGGTGGTAGCCAGGCACTGGTGCCTCACATCTGTAATCCAGTTTGGGCGGAAAAGTCCATGGAATTCTTATTTCCAATTAACAACCAAAAAGTAAGAAAGTGGAGCCGTGGCTCCAATGGT